TTACAGGCTAGAATAGCTTTTTAACTCGTAGTATACAGCTTAAATTAGTTTATATAATGTTTTGATTGAGTAGGGTGAACAATACGAGGTTCCATAATGGCGCCGGTCGTAAATCAGTATCCAGTATTAATCTTACGTAGGCTACCGTTTACACTGCAAATTTTGCACTATCGATCTATACACAGCGAAAACAAGACATTCGTTGTCAAAATAAAATCATTCATGGTTTTATTTAGGCAACTTAACTTTCAGGACCTATAAGAGCGTGTCTTATGTCTAAAAAAACAGTGCACTTTTTAGATCGATACTACATTTATCTATGCGTGCATTTGGCTTCACTAGAGTGAAAACACAAAAAGCGCATGCTCAACGTTTAAGTACTAGCTAACTTCGTATCTTATATAAGAAGAGTTGCTATGATACACAACTGCATGTCGTAGATAAAATTATCAACTTCACCATTATAGACAATAAGATTATATTTTTATAGAATTTTTTTTTTACATCTCTTCTCAACAGAAATACAAATGACTTCGTCAGTAGCTTTTAAAGCACTATGTTTATGTGTGGTGTTAGCTCTTATCCAAGGGTCCTATCARCAAGGTATGTCTGCACACTTATGAAATGCAATAGTCCTTGACCATGGTAWYGCTGTGCGCCGTTTCGRCTCTAAAACMSTTTCGTTTGTGTTCAATTCAGAACTCTTTGAAGATGCCATAGAACTTGAAAATGCTGATCCMATGCTTGGAGACAATTTCTACTCCACWGCTGAGGAGAGAGACATCCCGGGTGATGAGACATCGGAAACAGCAGAAACAACTCCACARCAATCGAACGATGACCAAGAGAGATCACCARACAAAATGCAGCCAGAGTTTTATGACTCGCCAGGTAAAAGACCCTATTCGTATCCCTCGTGATCAACATTCATCTCAAGATCTTACGTCAGAAATCCTTATTTATTTGCAGGKCATTCCTATGTSAATTCKGATGGTTTTTATGTTGGCTTGAACGGCATTGATGGAGATAGCAAATCTAATATGGATAGAGAAGAACAGAATAGCGCACCATATSCTGAATCGATGGAAGACACAGAYACTCCAGAAGAAGAAACAACAGATTCTGATCATGTGCCAGAACGACAAAATAATTATGACAACGAGTATGTTGAGAACGATAGCATGCAAAAAGAAAAKAAAAAGGAGAAAAACGAGTTATTAGACCAACATGCTGATCTGGAAGCAAAGGATAKGTCGATGGCAGAACATGAAGAGGGGTCTAGTAAATCGAGTAAAGATGTAAATGGTGGYGKCTCKGATCGCGCGCATGATATGAARGCTAAAGAAGATAATATGTCTACGGAGGGTGTAAATGTTGAGCAGAAGCMACAAARCAAAAGCTCAAATAAACATGGCGCGTTAGGTAGTAATCAAGAAAGGAACAAAAWGAACAAATATGATTCACAWGYGCAAASGMTAAAAACAAAACAYAAAGAACAGTTAGAGAAGGAAAAAAGTACTGATGAACAATTGRAGTCGAATGAYAGTGAYAGTGAAATGAAACACAAAWCAARCTCTAAAGGTAAAATGGAAAATGCGTTTGTTTACATAGATAACGCAAACATCGAGAAAAAACCGGACAGCAGAAARAACAATCATGGTATTTCAAGCAGKRATATGGATAAAACAGGGAAGGAGTTTGAAAATCAMATTAAAGAATCTAAAGGACAATATGAGGAGTCGGAATCTKCYGATAAAGATAAAARGAAAGTAAGGAAGATCAATGAAGMAAARGACAACAATGGTGGTCTTTCGCACAAAGGYAARCGAGAGAAGGARTTTGAGAATAAGGATCGCCAAAAAGAAGATATAAATCAATATGAGAACTCGGAATCTGTCAACCAAAGAACTGAAATGGATAAACACAAAGAAGATAAGGCTACGGATGTAAAGCAAATGGAAAATCCTTTAGATGATGAACAAACCAATAAAAGCAAGAATGAGCARRACRTTGAAMTGCCTGAGCAGAAATCTGAGAAAGAAAACACGGAACATGAAAATAAAAATGAAGACAGTTTAAAAGCAAAGACAAATAAACATCATCGTATTCAATCTGGGAAAGATTCCAAAGATAGCGAGTGGCTTAACTATGATTCAGAGCCAAAGGACACTAGTGAAGATGAGAAAAATCATATGGAAAAATCAAATGAAGGATACAAGCAGGCACCATTAACGCCTAATATGCCTTCAGCCAATAAACCTGAAGCATCCTATGATAGACAACATCRGAATGAAGATGCTAAATTAAYAGYTAAACCGAATGAGGCCCTACTCAAAGATTCTGCTGAAAATGAAAACATGAAAAAACTTGACAGTAATGAAGATTTAGAAACTATTCCAGAATCAAAAGATTCACAAGAAAACGTGAGCGATGACAAAGATGAGCAAGGTAGTGAAAAATCTGCAAAGGATTCTCCAAGGAAAGATACAAAGAAAGAAGAGTCAACAAATGTGCAAGATGTAGTTCCTTTGGACTATGCTTTAATATCATCAGAACAAAATAATGACAAAGAGTCGATTAGTGAACCATCAAAGAAAAATCACGAMAAGAAAATCATGRACRATAGTTYGAAAGAGAAATYTAAATCTTTCCAAAAGGTTGATAAAGAGGACAGAGAAATCGACTTCAATCACCAATCAGACAAAAACGACAAAATTCAATCAACTGCTGAGGATATTAGAGCACACGAAAAAGACCTTGAAGAAATGCTAGCTGAGGAAGAAAAACCCGAAGAAAAGMAAAAGCAAAGACACTCGTTAGAAAATGCATTGAAAGAACTTCCAAATCACGGCGAAAATCACAAGGAGGAGAARCCAAAAAACGTTTTAATGACACTGCCTGATGCGACRCCATCAAACCAACWCAAAAATGACGAGGAATTTGAAAACAAAGACAGAAAGCATGAGTATTCAAATTCATACGAGCATCCTCTATCCGCAYTACCAGATGCTCATCCGACACTAAAAAAGCCCAAGAAAAAGGATGACCACATTGATGAGATTTTTGAGCAAAACCAAAATCTGGAAAATATAGATCTYGAAGGAACAAATGACACAATACACCATGATGAAAACATGGCYACAAAGAGCAACAATGGAGGTCTTACTCGTGGTAACTCTCTGMCAACCGATCTCGAGGCAGATGCCGCAAGTGGCAATGATGGTAGCTTAAAGGAAACTACACAAAAACAAGATGGGTCACTCACCGAAGAGGTGRAGAAAGAAAATTCCACGCCTGAAGATTCTGGGAGTGCAGATTTTTCAACTAAACAAAAAGAAAATTCTAGAGGTGAAACAGATGAAGGGGAAATTGTTACTAAAAATAGTGATGCAACTATAGATGATCCTGTTGTAATTATTGGAAGCAAAAATGACCAGACTGAGTCCGGAACCTCAGAAGACGCAAACCAGTCCGGGAGTGGAGAAACCCCTTCCTTGCAAGAAGACAGTGAAAYYGAAARCAAAGYCRCAGAAAATGGCAGYGGTAACCGCCAAGAAGAGGAAGACGAGTTCTCTGGWTCCGATGACAACGACGATGACTCAAGTGGTGCTGAAAGAGAGCGCCGTCAAGCCTTCACTACAGGTACAGTATATAAGTTGTAAGGTAAAAAAGAAAAAAGAATAAACATTCTGTGAAACAATATTCCTAAAATTTCGACAGTATGTGAGAGAGATATCTGTAAAWTACATTTGTAAATTATAATTGTGCTTGGTTAAAGAGAGCAAAAAGCTCATTATACAATATATATGTATAATGCAGTATCATGTTTTGTGTGCTTACAGTATAAAAATACCACTCACTAAGSCAATTTTGAATCAAAAATTGAATTTAACTTTAATTTAAAAGTGCMTTTTCTTTTTCTTGTTKTTTTGCAGAGGAGCAAATCAACGAAGCAAAGGCAAAACTAAAGAACGCCGAAGGAGCTTCAGACGCGCTTACTAGCATAGAAAAAGAGATGGGATTAGATCCATCCATAGCTCCAGAGAAAACAAAGCACCTCACATCAGAGCTTCACAACGAGATTGGTAAATTCAAAGATATTATTACCCATCAGAATGACGCGGTCAAAAAGTCCAAATTTCAAAAACTTGAAAAACTTGCAGAGGAAGACGTTAAGGGAGCTAATGACGTCATGAAAATGATTGTCGAGCTTGAAGTCGCCAAATACTTTGCTAAAAACCGTGCAAGAAAGAAGCTTGAGTTGGCCATGAGAAATAGAATTTCAAAACCTCCAACTCAAAATCAATCTCCTCCAGAATGGAATCCGTATCAAGGGATGATGCCAAATTATATGCCACAAWTTCCGGATCAGTCGTATGCCGCTCCTTATGCACCCTACCCTCCACCAGCACCGATAGCYCCCATTCCTCCCATGGCTCAGGAACCTTCACAACCGCCTTCTCCGCCACAAAATCCTCTTGATGGGCGATTCATGGATAGCAGCTTTCCTCAGAGCTGGAATCCGCCAGTGTCAGCATTCATAGCTCCTCAGAGACAGCCTCAAGATTTTAGCCCTTATATTGGAACTCCCATGAATTCAGCGCCACCAAGCWTGTTCCCAAATATGGCTCCTGTAGCTTTTGCCCCCAAAGCGCCCGTGAATCGTCCTATYCAAAGTAATATCGCAAAGGCGTCCTCAAACGATGTGGATATAAATGCACCGGAGCAAAAGCCTGAGCTTAACGATGAACCACCTAAGACAAAAGTGGAAMAGTTCTTGCCAAAATCGTCTCCATTTGCAGGATTGAAGCCGTTATCTCTTTCATCCTTCAAACCAATTCATGCTTTGCATCCAGCTCCCAGCTTTAGTAGYGAGATGAAGGGCCAGGCTGCACCATTCGCATCGCTGAAACAAAACTCCTTAWCTGCGTCATCTTTACATGCGTTTTCTGATGATGTACGACAACCAGAAAACAACCATGTAAAGCAATTCTTTCCGAAATCRGCATGGATTCCACCGGCTCGAGTAAATACCTTTTCAGATGGTCTCTCTCACCTTAATGTAAATTACCAAAAGCCTTCGCCAAGTTTTAAGCCCAAGGCTCCAAAACCGGCTCCTCCAGCTCCTCCTCCCAAAGCACCAAAAATGGGTATATCAAACTTATTTCGTTCACCTGCTAAGCCATTGGCTATRCATCAGTTCCAGCCTGCAACACCTTTCCAACCACCAATGCAACAACAGAACTACGACACAGCTCCAAGATTCCAAGACGCGCCTCCTATGTACCMTCAATTCCAAATACCCTCCCCAATGGAGCCTGCAGTACCTGTACAACAGTTCAACCCACAAGCTCCTTACTACCCTCCACCTCCTATTCAGCAATCCACTTACATACCAGGACCTCTACCACAGCCCCCACAGYTCCCCAAACAAGCTGATGATCAGGARCAGAGCCCTATTGGCATGAATTTCAATGATCAACAGCCACCGCAACCTCAGCAGCCCCTGGCCTTCCAAGGTCCTCAAGTGTATCCGCAACAATCTGTAAGTGGCTTTAATGCATATGCAAATCCTGGAATGCCTGTGGAGGACTACTCTTGGCCACAAGCACCTTTTGCGCAGGCTTACGGATATCAGCCAGCTCCGTCATACGAACAACAGTTAGGTGAGAACTATTATACTTTTTGTTTGATTATTCTACAGATCTCTTCAGCTTGTGTCATTTTTTCAGATGTTTTCCCTGTAAAAGTACATACACCTAATTACGAAAACGTTGTCCTGAGATTTAGGGATTAAGGAAATTAGGAATATATTAAAAAAAACAAAAAAAACATGACCACTGAAGCCGAGCACTTTCTTTTGTATTTAAATTAATTCCTAAATAGTAAAATTTCTTTTTTCGTGGACAACGTTTGTGTAATTAGGTGTATATAGAAGGTTTAAATGACTCATCCGTAAAACATTTCTATTGATGTTTCTCTAGAACATCGGAAAAATCCTCCCGAGACTCAAAATGCTCGAATTGAGCTGCTTTCTTTTGTGGTTTGGCAACTCGGATTTTTCCTTTGATCACAAGGCTTAACTTGGATTTGACCACTTTATGTCCCCTTTTCAAATCATAATTTAATTCATGGATATTTTTTCATTATAGTCAATCCCCTATTGAACGAGGCAATAACAAARATACACGACACGAAAAAAGCTGCTCAAGTGGTCCAGAAGATCGAGAATAGGATTGGACTRTCTCCACCAGCAGTCAATCACATCATTAATGACGTAGAGAGTGAAACAAAAAATGAGAAAACAGAATTTGATGATGAGCTCAAACAAGAAAAAGAAAAGATACAAAATGACAAGAAAATGATGGATGACGTCCCAGACAACAATAATCTTAAAAAGAAGATAGAGGAAGAAGAAAAGAAACTCGAAGATGTGCGAAAGAGGGACGAAATTGCAAAGGTCAAACTTGCTACCATTAGAAAGATTGAGAAGATCTTRACTGTCATTGAAACTGCCAAATATTCAGCACTGAAGAGGGCGAGGGAGCACCTCTTGAGGCTAAAATCAGAAAAAGATCCGCAGATACGAAAACGCAGTTTGGAAGCATTGGAGAGAGATTTGCACAATTCTGAGCAGAGGCATCTACACAGAAGAAATGAAATCAACATATGGCTGAAAGGATCGAAAAACAACATAAACACAAGTCATTTTCTAGAGGGAGATAAGAAGGAGAAAAAAGAGGAGAGAAATCATAGATTCAAGGATTTCGGATCACCTTCCATACCCAAACTGGCTATCGCTAATTTCGCTACAAAGTATGCCAAGAAGGCTAACATAACCTTAMCAAAGTCGATTTCCAAGAAACATAAAATTGAGAAACCAAAAAAGGAAAAAATTGGCGTGGTTTTGATGAAGAAGCTTCTTCAGAGAATGGACGACTTGTACGATATGCAGTCGAAAATCCTTACACAACTGATCAAGGAGCATCAGCGAGCTAAAGATGAAAGAGAGCACATGCGCAATAGACGAAGCCCAAAGAAACATCGTCATTATATCCATAAACGTCATCATGGACGTCATAGTCGTCATTCCAAACGATTAAAGAAAGACTGACAAGGTCGGCCATTTCATTAACGACCGCTTATATTTTTATATTTTGTGGTCGGATTCTGACAAAGAAACCCATGAAATCTAGACATTTTCTAAACTAGCTTGTGACATCGGTTAAAGACAAAGAGGTCCAATATAATAATMATATTTGTTATTGAAACTGGGGCATAAAAACGGGTTTACGAATGAAGGTGATACCTGATAGACCGGTTTACCGAATACGACCGTCGTACCCCATATAAACGAAAAGTGTACAATATGCTCACCAAGCATTCCTTAAAGAAAAAAATGGAATGGGGCATCTTCATACATGGCCAACGTTCACCCTTTTTAATCAACGTTGGAGTAAAATTGTTATTTTTTTTCTGCCATCAATATCAATGGGGTTTCAAACTGGACAATTAATATGTGTACCCAAACCGAGTATGTCTACTCAAGATGACTCTCGCTATCTGCAAAAAGATCCATTGGACGAAATAATAAATACAGACACCAAAGCTTACAAAAAATATATATTTGGGACATAGGTTAAGGGATTGGACATAAATATCTGTAAACTTTTGATATCAACGAGGATATCTAAAATAAGCTTAAATAATACAAGGTATCTAATAATATTAGTGTATAAAATTGATTTATATCTATTAAGGTATCTAATAAAGTACTTATTTAATTTGTACATAGGATGGTATGTGTAAATACAATGTATTAAAATTGCCGTACAAAATACAGMATTTGTTTTGGTTTGTTGCATTTTAAGTTTGAGCAATGAAAAGGATAAACACAGCTTTGAACAGTTGAAGATAAATAAAACTAAGAGGTAGTACCAACTAAGAAGCCTTAACCGTTTTAAATAGCCTGGAAGTTAGACCTTACTACTACRTTGCGATGCTTCTCTATTGCGAATAAATAAAGAAGAACGGAGCACAACGTCTACCAAACACGAGCTGTCACTAGTGCGGACGCTAAATTCAGGGTTTCCAGAGGATGATCTTTTTGACAGCAAATTTTCAACTTGCCTTTTTTGTATCAACATGCAATTTATCATGTAGATTAACAATTAGGAAACTCAGTGTGATTCACGTCGAAGAACGCCTTCATAAAAAAAAATAATTTGGGAAAGGTTGATTTATGCTTCGCAAAAGGACGACGGYGTAAATTCCATAAAGATGTGCACCAAATTCACAAGCAATCAGTACAATAAAACTAAACTTTGATTSATGTCGAAGAATGTTTCTATATATGAAATGATTTGGAAAGGCTGAGTTTATATTACGCAAAAAARCGACGGCGTCATTTGTATTGATTTGGGCACCAAATTCACCTGTAATTCGGACAATACAACACAGGTTGACCATTCATTGTACCAAACACCCAATAGCCATCAACTGAACGCTTSAATAAACCCTTAGAGAATCATTCAACAGTGGTATAGTCAATTGACGTTTTAAATAACGACGTGGTAGCAAAGAATTACAAAATGGGACTGAATTAGATTTGGATCTTCTGGTATACCAAAGCGGACAAGATCAAATCAAGACACACAGGGATATTATTCGCTGATATTATTATTTATTGTTTAATTACGGTGTTTTCAAAATAACCGTGCAATGGTTACAGTGGATTTACTATAGTGGAATGACCTCTGACTTATCCAGTGAAGAATCACTGTGTTTTATTTGGTACGCTTTGTAATTTGGTTTGTCTGGGTTTGCTTCCATGGATAACTCGTGGTTGCGTTTATTATTTGCTTCATTAGTCCTCGCTTTAGCAATTGAACAAGGTTAGTGTTGTCTTTATTTAACGTATTTTGGCGATAAATGTACAATTTATAATAATATTTAGTCTACAAGCGTTGTATGTAATAAAGATCCCTGTTCACAAATGGTAAAGTTATCCTACGACAGATTGATTTCTTAAGTTTATTTAACTTTTACTATAATTAATATATTTTGCAATATTCTTTTGCTTGGTTTGTATTTTAGAAGAATGAGGTCACATGCTTGTATTGTCTCACTAAACCTGAACCAAAACCCGAGCCGGTCGAAGAATATATATTWCACATAACATATATTTTTATAACGCTGTTCCAAATTCTTGGAATATTGTTTTTTCCTTATAATTTGCGAGGTCAAACAGTCCAAATACAAAACTCGAGGACTTAGAAGCAAATATACGTTACTGATTCAAACTTATTTTCATTCAATGCAGCCGAAATAACTTTAATTTCAAATCTTTAAGATGATTTTGAAGTAATTAAATTCCTAAAAAAAATCTGAAAAGAATAGACTGGGTTCATTGGCCGGCTGTAACAAGCGCTATTCACAAGATGAATTGTTATCCAGGGGATGACATCCATACAAAATCAATGAAGTGGATAACTTTAGTCACCTCTTGTGTAACTTGCCTCTATCTATACAGTTTAACTAAGTTCAAATTATATCAGGCATTCAGTAGGGATTGATGAAAAATCAGTGTTTTGAAAAATTCTAAATCAAGTATTTTATTCAGAGTACATATTCTAATATTGCGTACAGATTTATTTAAGATGCAGAGTTCCACCTATTTAGGGCCTATCCTTTTGAAACGAGGGAAAAGTGTAGATATATATAGCTGTATCAATTGACCAGTTAGACCGGTTGTGAGGAAGTAACAATTTTATTTATCCGCGAGAGGATGTCTAATAAATAATAATAATAAAACTTTATTGGGTAATAAAACAAAGCAATGCTTTTTTTCAAATCCGGCCCATAAGGGAAGTAAATGTATAAAAGCAAAATTGGACAAGTAMAATTAAAATAAAAGTGAAATTGTCTAATCTACTCCATAGATTTTGCATRGATTTTATTGTGTGAATTTTGAGATATGCGGCAAAGGAAGGCAGCAGTTACTTTTCGTAACCTATGCTAATCTTAAATATTTTTTAAAGGTACGACTAGAACCATTTACAGATCWGAGCAGCTCGATGCAGGAGTCCAAGAAGAAAACCAATTCACTCCAATAGATAATAACGATATAAACTCAAGATATTATAGACGATCTGATGTTCACGACAATGAAAAGGAAACGGAGCTACCCCTTTATCGTTACTCCAGYATTCCCAGYGCACMTTCATACGGCAACTATGAATCTTTGCAAGATGAAAGTACCAGTGACAATGGCGAAGATACTGAARACAACTCTAGTGGAAACGAAAGTGAAGAATCAAATACAAATACTTTACCTKCGTCTGAAATGAAAAATCAGGGAGACTCTACCCTATCTAGAGATAACAATAAAAGTAACAGTGGAAATCACTTGGAAAATCCTAATAAAGACATTGAGGATTATGCAGCTGAGAATTCARGTGATTTTGATGGTATGGCCAGTGGTGGGGATGTTTCTAAAGATGGTGAAAGTGTTGGAACCTTAGGAAACAAAGGAGAGGACACGCTCAACAAAAATAAAGGTATGCTTAGATGATGATAACAATTATTCATTAACATAATGATATTGCTAACAATAGATGCATGCCTTCTTTACGCTTGTACACATCCATTCAGTCATTAGATGCGTACCGTTCATCTCGCCATAAAGGAACGAATATACCTTTCAAAATGACGAAGGAATTAGTTGAAATAGCAAATATGATAATTTTAATGTCAATAAAGYCATTTYCATCCGTYTGTGAAATAGGAATTGTACTATTTAATACTATTACYCCCTATATTAGCTCCCAATAGTTTAACGTATGACATGCGGCAAACWAATTAGRCAAAAACGGTTTTGATTTTGCCTTTTGGTAACCTACTACACCCYAATAGTTACTATTAAACACTGACTAGTAGTAATTGTTTCACAGACGGATGAAAATGACTCTAAAATCTTTATTTTCAAGGAGTTGATATAACTCYAAAGAGTAGTAAACAAAATGAACAAGATAACTCCTTTTCTGGAGTAAATTTAATTTCACCAATTTTAACTGCTSCTGGTGGAATAATTTTGATCATTCTTCTTCTAAGAGCAATTTTCAACCCCTTTTGAAGAAGTGATTTTGACTATCTTGCCGTTTTGATTTAAACCTCTGGAGTAAAACTACTCGAATTGTACGTAGAGTAGATTTATCTCTCTTTTAAAAAGTTACTCAACCAGGCAAAGTAACTTTAACTCCTTGAAAATGACAGTGCATATCGTCAAAAGTTATTGTTTGTTTATTTTCTTTTACCGTCATTTGCATTGCTGCACAATTAGCTCTGACAAACATTTTGATTAGCGATATACTACCGTCAATCAAACCCTTGGCATTTTTATCTCAAACTAATTGGTGCTGAGCGGCAAAGCACTTATTAGTAAGTGTGTTTAGGTCGGTCCATAGCATTTCAAATAACGGTAATTGTAAAATACAACTTGCCCCTGGTTCTTCAAAACTCTCTCATTTACAACTCTTTAATCAATCAGAGCTTGGAAAAATTGAGGAAGACATTTTCAACGGCGAAGTTAAAGCTCAAACCAAACAAGACGAAGAAGAAATCTATCAAAGTGACACGGAGCGTAACAAGCTTCGAAATGTGAAACTCACGACGCATATGTCTGATGCGAAAAAATTTGGAACTAATRAAGAGAAAAATAAGACGCAGATTTCCGACAAAATCASTAAGAGTGAATCAAATGGYAMAAATAAAGACGAATTCAAGGGAAATACATACGATCTCAGCCAGATTAAAGGCAAGGGTAAGCAATTTCATCGAGCAAAAATGCAAGAAGACGAAGGAAGTGGCATGCAGTCAACAATACATCGAAAGAATTCTTACAAGGAGCACAAMGTTGMTGACGCAGACATATCTGAATCTGGAGACCAGGAAGAAGCTCCAGGAACTACTGATAGTAAATCAATGAAAAAACTTGATAATGACAACAGCATCAAAGATCGAACCAATCARGGAAGAGAAAATCAAGCCTCGACAATCAACAGGAAAGGAAAGCACCATGAAGATGATGATGAGGAATACATTGATGAAAGTTCAGGTGAATCTAGTGGGGATTTTCAGCCTGTTGATGTGAATGCAGATCTTGCTGAGAATAATCGCATCAACACAGTCCAAAAAGCAAAAATGGAAGAGAGCAAAGAGGTTGAAGATGAGGGAAGCAATGTAGACAGCACAGACAAAACGGATAACCAAGAAAAAGACGCTACGGTAAACKTAGCTCTTTCTAAAAGCAAAGGAATGGATGCTCTSAAAAAATCGACAAAAGACAATAATGTCAATGAAGATGASCACACCAATGAAGATAGTGAAATCAAAGATGATATGCAGAAGATCACGGATCAAACAAATACACAACCCAATGAAGTGAATGACGGCGAAAATATAGAAGGGAAGGATTCTAAAGTGARCAAGCTACCAGAAAAGCTTCATGTGCAAGCAAACACCAAAKCATCTGATCATGAAAAGGATAAAAAACTAAAKTCTTCAGARGAAAGCACTGAAAATGAAGATAAAGATCATGCCAGTAATCAGAGAAACAACGAAGGCAAGAACTCTGCTTTTGTAATAAGTGCCAAAGGCCAAAGCGACGAAGAAAGAGAAAAAGGTTCTGGTCTCATTTTGACGAATGAAAAAGAGACAAGCGGCAGCAGAAGTAAAGCTAGTGTTGACATAGGTTTCAATGGCGAAACGGATGTTGGTAATAATGGCAACAGTGTTAGTAAAGAACTTCCAGGAAATATTGGTTCATCAGTTAGTAAATCCCAATCAAAAGAGTCAGAAGAAATGGACGACACAGACAGCATTAATGCTACAAATGATAACAATGAAAGTGTTGATGATGAAGATGACAGTAGTACAGCTTCTGCACCATACGATGACTCCAATGATGACCAACAGGAAGAAGAAGAAGAAGAAGAAGAAGATACTGATAACAGAAGCAATGCAGTAAATGAAGGTCTACAGAAGAACAGTAACAAAAGTATCAATCCAATTGACGGARGAGGTGATAACAGACTTAAAACAAATCTTTTTCAGCATAAAAATGGATCAGTTKTTATAGGAATCGATGACAAAATGAAAGAAACGGGAGTGGYCGATAAGACTTCCAAAGCTGCTCAAAACATAACTTCAGCTCACTTAAAACCTCTTAGCCAATCAGAACTTGGTAAGATGGAGGAGGACATTTTCAATGGTGAAGTTAAAGCTCCAAACAAACAAGATGAAGAAGAAATCTATCAAACTGACACAGAAARTAAAAAGCTTCGTAAGCTGAATTTAAAACATGACTCTGCTAAGCAGTTAGCAAACAACACTGGAAGGAATGCTGAGAGAAATAAAGATAAAGTAAACATCAGTTCTGACAATGCAAGTAAAGAGGACAAAAACAATGATGGATCCGATGACAAAAGCAATGCAGCAGAGACAAATAGCGAGAAAAGTGGTAGTGATAACATTGAAGATGTAGAATTKATTTCTGGAAGTGGACAGGGACAAAATAATCAACTAGAAGTCCCCAGTTCTGGAATACCTTCCAAAGACGTCAAAGTGCATGCGATAAGATACGGAGAAGACTTAAAAAACACGAAGGAAAAAGATGGCGCCAAAAACAATACTGATAAATACAGAGATCAMGGAGCAAGAACCTCATCGTCTAGKGAAGYTGAAAACAAAGTAAAACRGAAAMCTTTCAATACAGACAATGAMAACATTAGTAAAACGGATAATRAAGATGCGCAAAGAGGATCTATCGACTCAAGTACCACAGAAAATGATCAAGAAAAGAATGGRGAGRAGATTCAAAAGATCGATAACTATGATGAGAAAGAAAACAGTGATGATGACAACACTGATATGAGCACGACCTCAGKCAGCGAGCAACAACAAGACGTGTCATCTACGCATCCTTCTCCTAGTACCAACAGAATTGACGAGGAATCCACGAGTGATCAAGAGGGCAGTGGAAGCTATGACAACAATGAAATAAAWACAAGCAGTCGTAATGACAATATTGAACTTGGAAAGATGGAGGAGGACATTTTCAACGGTGAAGTTAAAGCTCAAAACAAACAAGATGAAGAAGAAATCTATCAAAGTGACACAGAACGTAAGAAACTTCGTAACCTRAATTTAAAACATGACTCTGCTACGCAGCTGTCAAACAACACTGGAAGGAATGCTGAGAGAAATAAAGATAAAGTCAACATCAGTTCTGACAATGCAAGTAAAGAGGACAAAAACAATGATGGGTCCGATGACAAAAGCAATGAAACAGAGACAAATAGCGAGCGAAGTGGTAATGATAATATTGAAGASGAAGAATTGATTTCTGGAAGTGGACAGGGGCAAAGTAAACAACCAGCAGCCCCTGGTGCTCCAATAAAGACAAGCAGTCGTAATAACAATATTGAAACAAATTTCACTTCAAGAAATCACCAAGACGTTTCCAAATTAGAATCCACTTCAACTTCAGATACAACTACAAAGAACAAACAATCCAATAGTGAAAATAATGAAAATAATGCCCACAACGAATCAGAAGTCAGCTCAGGTAGTGGACATAGCCAAGAAATTGCAATAACAAGGAATGGACAATCTAAGGACGAAGATGATGACGATGATGATGATGACGATGACGATGATAACGGGGAAACAAATGAAGAAATTTCAAAAACGGATTCTATTTCTCCTACAAGTGCAACTACAGAGGTCGCCCAATCCAAGAGTGAAGATGAAGACAAGGATGATGATGAAAATGATACTACCACTGACACAGAAGAATCCACAGGCAATAAGCAGGAGCTAGAAAAGAAAGAATCCACCTCTACTGTTACTTCAACTACATACGACGCACAACACGAGAGTGARGATGACGGAAACAGTGATATTGGTAGCACCAAAATAAAAATTATCCCAGGCAGTGGACATGTGCAGGAAACTGAAAAAGGAGAATCTACTTTTAATCCCACTTCAAATGCCTCAAAATCYAATAACCGAGATGAAGTCAATRATGACAATGAAGAAAATGCTACTAATGACAACAGTGAAACAGAAGTCTCCCAAGGCA